TATATATAAATTATGTATAAACACCTTTATGAAGTCGACAGTCATGAAGAGCATCATGAAGCTGCACAGTACGCTCGACAAGAACTCCACTTCATAGGCGACACCATATCTGCGTGCACGTCCCCAGTACCTGCCCGCGATAGCGCCAGTGTCCAATGGCGAGCCGTCCAGCAGGACAAGATGGCCGATGGTGCGCTGCGCTTGCTGCAGCTGTAGTGCCATCTCAAAGGCGACGCAGGCGCCAAATGAGTAGCCACCTAGATGGACGGCTCCCATCGGATAGTGGTCAGTGATTTTCTGAAAGAAAGAGAGAGAGAGAGAGGAAGAGGAAGATTAGTGAATAATAGAGAGAGAGAAACATGGAGAAAGCGAGAGACAGGGGACAGAATTGGTCGCAGGTGGTCTGCTTCATGGACGACAGCTACTGTATTGTAACATGGTTAAATTCACTTGTACCTCAACGCATCTATCAGAGACTCAATACAGGCCATTTAAACAATCGGCAGACTTACTTGGATGTAAAAGGATGCCAGATTTTGCAGACTTGTGAGTGGTGCTTCTGCGGTGCACTGTAGTCCATACACCGGACATGACATTGCTACCGCCAAATCTTGCAGGGTCGCTGCAACGCCATCTAATGCATGTACAATGAAGTACGGTGTGCCTTCTTCAACCTGCATCAGGTAAAAATAGCACACGTATCAATTAACGAAGTCATCAATACATGTATTGAAAGCGTATATACTGAACTAGCTTGACCGATCTATGCAAGAGGGTGGATAAGTGAAACGTGATCGGCCGTTTTTATACCTCGTGAACTGTGAATTGCAATTCATTTTGTCTGTGAACTGTGGATGGACCACCTTGCGTGAAGCGTGATTTAGCTTTTATTTAATCTGTGAACTGTGAATAAGAGGTCTCTTTCCTCGTGAATCTATGCATGTCGTGAATCTATGCATGTCGTGAATCTATGCATGTCCTCGTGAATCTATGCATTTTCACATTTTCACTGTGAAATGTGAAAAGCAGTTTATTTTCACTGTAAACTGTGAACAGTACCGTCCCTTACCCCCCCCCCCCTAATGCAAGGGGGAGTGCATGGTTATCCCACTCAGATGAACATGTCAATTATTGCAACAAGACGTCTGGAGTGTGCACTGCTAATTAACGCTCACAATATTGTGAGTGTGTGCTGCCACCTACCCCACGATTTTGTGAGCGGGTGCTGCCCCCTACCTCAGGATATCGTGAGTGCCGCTACCTCCTACCTCCGGATTTTGAGAGCGTGTGCTGCCACCTACCTCGTGATTTTGAGAGCGTGTGCTGCCACCTACCTCAGGATTTTGAGAGCGTGTGCTGCCACTTACCCCACAATTTTACGAACATGTGTTGGCCCTACTGCAATTAAGATGTTGTGTACGTGTGTTGTCCCTCTACCTTGAGCTGTTGTGTACGTGTGCTGCCCCCTACCTTGAGCTGTTGTGTAACCATGTGCTGCCCCCTACATCAGGATGGTGTAACCATGTGCTGCCCCCTACCTCAAGATGGTGTAACCATGTGCTGCCCCCTACCTCAGGATGGTGTAACCATGTGCTGCCCAAAGTCGACAGTCATGAATAGCGTCATGAAGCTGCTCAGTACGCTCGACAAGAACTCCACTTCGTTGGCGACACCATATCTGCGTGCACGTCCCCGGTACCTGCCCGCGATAGCGCCAATGTCCAATGGCGAGCCGTCCAGCAGGACAAGATGGCCGACGGTGCGCTGCGCTTGCTGCAGCTGTAGTGCCATCTCAAAGGCGACGCAGGCACCGAATGAGTAGCCACCTAGATGGACGGCTCCCATCGGATAGTGGTCAGTGATTTTCTGAAAGAGAGAGAGAGAGAGAGAGAGAGAGAGAAGAACAGGAAGATTAGTGAACAACAGAGAGAGAGAAACATGAAGAATGCGAGAGACATGGGACAGAATTGGTTGAAGGTGGTTCGTAGACGACAGTTACTGTATTGTAACATGGTTAAATTCACTTGTACCACAACGCATTTATCAGAGACTCAATACAGGCCATTTAAACAATCGGCAGACAGCTTACTTGGATGTAAAAGGATGCCAGATTTTGCAGACTTGTGAGTGGTGCTTCTGCGGTGCACTGTAGTCCATACACCGGACATGACATTGCTACCGCCAAATCTTGCAGGGTCGCTGCAACGCCATCTAATGGATGTACAATGAAGTACGGTGTGCCTTCTTCAACCTGCATCAGGTAAAAATAGCACACGTATCAATAACGAAGTCATCAATACATGCATTGAAAGCGTATATACTGAACTATAGCTTGACCGATCTATGCAAGGGGGAGTGCATGGTTATCCCACTCAGATGAATATGTCAATTATTGCAACAAGACGACTGGAGTGTGCACTGCTAATTAACGCTCACAATATCGTGAGTGGGTGCTGCTCCCTACCCGACGATTTTGTGAGCGGGTGCTGCCCCCTACCCCAGGATATCGTGAGTGCCGCTACCTCCTACCTCAGGATTTTGAGAGCGTGTGCTGCCATGCACCTACCTCATGATTTTGAGAGCGTGTACTCCCACCTACCTCAGGATTTTGAGAGCGTGTGCTGCCACCTACCGCACAATTTTACGAACATGTGTTGGCCCTACTGCAATTAAGACGTTGTGTACGTGTGCTGTCCCTCTACCCTGAGCTGTTGTGTACGTGTTCTGCCCCCTACCTTGAGCTGTTGTGTAACCATGTGCTGCCCCCTACCTCAGGATTATGTAACCGTGTGCTGCCCTCTACCTCAGGATGGTGTAACCATGTGCTGCCCCCTACCTCAGGTTGGTGTAATCATGTGCTGCCCCCTACCTCAGGATGGTGTAACCATGTGCTGCCCTCTACCTCAGGATGGTGTAACCATGTGCTGCCCCCTACCTCAGGTTGGTGTAATCATGTGCTGCCCCCTACCTCAGGATGGTGTAACCATGTGCTGCCCCCACCTCAAGATGAAGTAACGATGTGCTGCCCCCTACCTCAGGATGGTGTAACAATGTGTTGCCCCCTACCTCCAGATGGTGTAACCATGTGCTGCCCCCTACCTCAGGGATGGTGTAACCATGTGCTGCCCTCTACTCAGATGATGTAACCATGTGCTGCCCCTACCTCAGGATGGTGTAACCTATCGTGCGCCCCTACCTCAGGATGGTGTAACCATGTGGCTGCCACCTACACTCCGGATAGGTGTAACCATGTGCTGCCCCCTACCTCAGGATAGTGTAACCATGTGCTGCCCCCTACCTCAGGATAGTGGTAACCATGTGCTGCCCCCTACCTCCAGCGATGATGTAACATGTGCTGGCCAAACCTAACACTTGTTTATAGTTTTACGAGACACTGTGCGTTGGAATCAGCTTATCGAGGTCCAGCGATCGTATGCAGCGCACGGCTCCCCGCGCGCTTCCTCAGCATGTCTCGATCCGTCTGCCTGTCGTGGCCTCGTGCCTTGTCGCCCTCGCCGCGAGAGTGCGTCTCGAGCAGCGCATCTCAGCAGCGGATGTTGTCATCGATAGTGAGAGGTCGAAGTCTCGCTCGAGCGTCTGCCTCACCTCGACACCCATTAGCGAGTCGAGACCAAGCTCTCCCAGCGTCAGCTCAGCATTCAGCGTCGCGACGTCCTTCACTCCTGGCGCCACGAAATAACGCACTTTATTATGACTCATTATAACATATTTTAATGTCAATGTTTACCGTGTTTGTGAACAAAACTAAAGTGTAAAGTTTACTCGATTCAAATGAAAGGGATACTGTGTAATGACGTTTCTTCAACACCACTGTAAATGAGTTGTTGTGTCAATTATATCAACCAAGAAGTTGTGTAATAAGTTTGTTGTGTACATTTTAATGGTTTTTAAACAATAATTACGTAATATAACAAAAAATGCTACGTGTAATAAGAAATATTAATTTAGTGATACTGAGCCGATAGCGTACCGAGGATGTTGGCGACAGCGTGGATAAGGTCGACCTGTGAGTCCTGCGTTGACGCGCCACCGCTGCCATGCTTCTCTGCAAGCACAAAGCTGGAGACGACGGGGAACGGCTGGTTGAGCAGCACATCCATCGTCTGCATGCAGGAAGTAATGCGCTGCGGCTGCGTGCCACCTATGACAGCGTCTTTGCCTCCCAGGCTGCGCGCCACCCCCACGTCACCGATCGCTCCCCATTGGATTGCGAGCGCTGCAGACAGAAAAATGTGTCATCACTCTATGCTGCCAGTGTAAACGACGACAACAACGACAAGTATGACGATGCATTAACGATGCGTTGAGTGAAAATTGTTCCATTTGAATACAGTCAATACACTATCTATATTCCATATCAAAAACGACAACAACGACCATAACAACGACAAGCATGACGATGACGACATAGTTAAAGACAACCACATCAAAACGACATCAATGACAATTAACAAAATAACAACAACGAAGATAATGATGACGACAACAAAAACGACAGCTGTAACAAGACCAGCAGCAACAACAACAACAACAAACAACAACAACGACGACAAGGATGACAACAATAATGGCAGAACATCGACGAAAAAAACAACAACAATGATGTCGACAACGCAAGTGAACATTGTTCCATTTGAATACACTATCTATATGCCATATATACAGCAACACGTACAGCATGGGCAGGATATATTGATCTGGAATACAGTGTTCTATCCACCTTTCCAAATAGGTACATTAATTCCTGGTGTATGGCAAGCAGTAAGTAACGTCCCCAAAACGTTAGTGCCTGTATAGAGAGACTCTCACCAGGGAAGCCGTCCCGCTGACGTCTCTCACAGATTCTCTCCATCGTTGAGTTTGCGTAACCGTAGTTCGTCTGCCCAGCGATGCCACGGCCGCAGCTCACAGACGAGAACACGACGAACCAGTCCAGCGAGGTGGCGCACGTGTCGCGGGTCACGAGGTCAAGGTTAAATGCGGTCGCCATCTTGGGTTTGTTTACCTCGCTGAAGGTCTCTGCTGTTTGGTTCTCGAACAGTCCATCCCTCAACACCTAAAGCGGGCGCATGTAGTCGAATATGAGTCCACTGTTCCAACATTCAGTGTCAACACATTGCAATCGTTTGGAAGTATATAAGAAGTGAGATCTGATGAACGAATATTATTAGTTTGGGGATACGTGTGTTCCTAGATCCTACCAATCAGACTGAATACCTCAACGCGGGAGCCCCCTTTTGATTACACTTCTTTAAATTATATAGTTGTACTCTACTCTTCTGTCCGCCTCCGATCCGAATCCGTCTCGTCTCTCTGCTCTCTCTCCTCCCGCTCTCACTCTCTTTCTTTCTCTCATCATCTCGTCTCTCATCTCTATATATATATTATCGCGATATATAGTATGTGGTTCTAAGACAAATACCATCGCGCAAGCGCACCGCACACCGGACAATCACCGCACCCCCTCAGACACATTACCTGTATCCGAATCTCTGGCATGGCGCTCATCAAATTTTTGCCAGGACAATACCCCCCCCATGGGCTATTCTCGACCCCTCCCGAACGTGATCTATATGTACCGGGTCTGCATCGTGTCCACACCCCAGCGGACTATCACCCCCACGGCTTATCCGTGTCAACAATCTAACCTGGGCCGCTGAGCCCATATTATCGTACTCCGACATCACCGTCGGACCCCTCGCACGCCAACGGTACGAATCCATCACCCGACATTTTACCCTCCCGGACATTACCATCGTGCCGGGACAACCTTAGCCGCATGACTTTTCCCGAGCACAATCCCTTAGAGGGAGATACCTTATAGAGGTACATGAGACGGAGAGAGGTTAGCGATAACAAGGAGACGAAATAGTTAGCTGAGGATAAACCAGGCGGCGTGTAGAGGTAGTGTGGCGCGAGAGCGAAAGCGAGCATGAGTCTATAGAGTAAGTGAGTACGCCACGCCTGGTGTGTACATGAGATTTTGAAAGAAGCACAAGTGAGTAGACCCGCTAGCTCGAAGGGGCACAAACAATGTGAGTTGGTGATATGTGCTCGAGGAGACCGAACAGAGGGTAGGACCGGCTCCACTGAACTATCTTGCACGCACTGCTTGCTGCCATCCTGCCTTTGTTGATCCGTGTCAATTTCAGTTTTTTTGTCATCTCGCTCTAGTCCTTTTGCTCTATGCTTGGCGGATCTAAAATATCTATATTATTTGTTCTTTAGATTGACTTTTATCTGCTATTCTTTCATCATATCTTAATTCTTATCTTATATATTCTTATCGTCTTCTTATTATTCTACCTGCCACAATTTCTGTATCTCTTTTAACCTGGTTGATTGACACAGATTCTGTCTAGTCTATCGCCGTTAGTAAGTCATGGCTGTATCGTCAGGGCCTGTTAGTTTGTCTTGCCACGGCTAGCATCGGGATCTGCCGTGCCTACTTATTTTATCAGTATTTTTTCTTATTATTAATTGTTGCTTGATTCAATGTGAGATTAATTCTAGTAATACGCTTCTTTATTTATTTATAGAGTTGACAAGCCCCTTTCGGGTTTGCTCATCCCACCGTCACTTATTTGGTAGTATGTGCCACTTTAGCCGTAAGTCCAAATGTGTGGGGGGCCTTTGGAACTTGAGAGCTCGACTCTATAATGTGTCTTCTGAACTAATGTTGTTGAATTTGGTAATGTTCACCATTCTATATTCTTTCTTATTGTTCCGAAAATGGGGGTGCTCCGGATATCTAGATTTCGTTGTAAATTTTTCAGCATCCGCTTCATATAAATCTGGACCACGGTCTTTAAAAGAGGGTCCTCCGAATCAGTGGGAACAGTGATTTGCTTTTAAAAATCTATGCTTGCTAGCATCTGCGAATCCAATAATTGTGCTGTATTTATCATTCTATGTTTTGTAGTGAAGAGAAGGTACCATCCTATCTCTGAACGTCCGGAGTAACGAGGTATTGATAAATCGCACCGGTGCTTACTTCACTATGCTTGCTGTAGTTGTTAGTTTCCTGGCCACACCCAGCGACAATACTTGCTACTATCGACTATCACACACAGCGAGAGCATCAACTGCACGACACTTGGATTCAGCGCTCGAAGGCACACCGCACCTCTACGGTCAAACGCACTGCCATCGCACATACGCATGCGACTGCATGATTCACACAATACACAACAACACCTACACACGCTTCATGCATGCCTTTCACGGCTTTGTCCGCTCGGCTTCAAATCGTATTCTCTGAGATAGTATCGATACTAGCTGGAATGGAAACTATTACAAACTATACATTATTTTTCCTGATGAATTGATGTAAATTGCTAAGTGATATGTATATTCTAACTTATTTGCTAAAAAGACATGTTTTTATTAGTTATCCAATCAGCATTCTTCTTACCACTCCATATGACATTATTTTTTTTTAGCATACTTTAGTCAACTATCACTTGTTCAGCTTTAGTACATTTCTCATTTGTATAATTTACTAATATTGACCTTTTAAAATGATCAGATAATTGGTTTTCCTTCTCAACTGAGTAGCCCTGAAAACTGTCGGGAGTATAATGCCTGTATTTGCGACAGGATATCTATAATTTTTCTAGATGAATTTTCTGAATAGGAAATATTTACCTGTCCTCGAACTCTACTCCTATACTGCTCACACTTCGTGACCTTTCGCGATTCGTTGCCGTTAGCCGCATGCGTGCCTGCCGGCAGCCAGGAATTCGACAATACTACTCATAATATCATTGCTACAACTTATCTATGATATTAATCTATTTGTGGTCCATTCCGTATCTCTTTCTGCAGAAGTTCAGCATTTGGGAGGCCTATACAGTTCATAGACCTCTATTTGCAACTATTGGTTAGTTTTGGTCTCTTTATCTCAATATACTCTGTGTTGGTACCGAGTGTAATTACTGTTGTTGGTTGCCTCGATTTCCAATTTAGTTGCGTTATTGTGTTTTATTGTTTTTTTGTTTTGGGAATCGTATTCAGTATCCACCTTATCATATCGGGCATTCTGGGATTATTTATCTTGCATCATGATATAACTTATTGAAATATGTCGTGATAGATGCGTACGGATTGCAACAAATTGATTTTTCTACTGAATTCACTTTACTTTCTAAGACCCTAAGAGTGACACCTAGACATATATGGTTGCCTCACGATCATCATACGTCCATCATTGTGTTTTACTCACTATGCAGTCCCTTCCGAGCTCAGCTGCTGTGTATATATGTCGATACTATGATCTATGACGTGAGCGGCCCTGTATGGCTAGTGTTCTTATCTCCTTATGTTATGATTATTTTGAAAGCCAGAGTGAGCTACGTGGAGCTTCGGTTCATGGCGGTTTGTTAATCTCGTGTTCTGCTCAGTCTCACGTTTCTAAATAACATACAATCTACATGAAAGCTAAATTTCTATTGGTTGGGTTTACACAATCATGACATATATGTTAGTGTTATTTGCTACATATGTTCTATTATATTTACTGTATTATGTTACTTGTTTGTTAGGTGGCTATACTCCTACATTATCCGCAGTCTTGCGCCAGCTGCCCTATGTGAGTACTCCTTATGCAACGCACTTACTGTCTTCGACGCCCGGATCGGCTGGTGAGGACGACATTCGTGAGGCGCCTTCTATCTGAGGTAACCGAGCTTAGGACACCAACGAGGCTCCTTACGTGCCGACAGCGACTCATGGACACACTCCATCGGTCTAACGCCCCCCTGTGATGATGTAGTCAGACTTCTGCGGGCTGACCAGCTGGTGTGCGGCCACAAGCGCATTTTCCATGGTAGTCTTCGTTCAAAGTGCCAGTCTAGGACCGTCCACGCTCGCTGCCATCCTTAACCTGCACCTACCGGCGAGCCAGTAGACTGGCACGAATCTGACTGTCCTATGTCTCCATCTTGTACGCACCAGCGCCAGATTCTCATCCGGCTCATACCGCGCGAATTCGTTTGCACGATAAAATAAGGCGGCCCTTGTATTCTCCTTGCGAATGCTCCGATCTGCATCAGGTTTTCTCCTTCATCCCGTACCATTCGCACGCACGCAACGCTTGTATGTCTAGCACTAACGCACGTAGCTACGCTACGGCTGACACAAAGTAATCACAATACACTGTCGCACTCGCACTCCACGCACGCGAACAGAGGCGTTGGCTTTCTTGCCACTAGTCAGCATACATTACACGCCACCGCACGTCGAACCGACCGCAACGCACACAAAGCATACATACTGCGCACCACTCAACCACGCAACGCTTGTATGTCTACACTTCGTCTGAGAGCACGCAGCACAGAAGACCGGACATGGCTTGTAATGGCTAGCCACTCGACGCACACACAACGCTTTGTATGGTAGCACTACCACGCATACGACGTTGTATGTCTAGCACTCCACGCGCAACACACGCGTTGCTATGTCCTAGCATCTCAACAGCACCCCGATGCTTGTATGTCTAGCCACTCACGCCGGCACGCTATGCTTGTATTCTAGCACTTCACGCACGCACGCAACGCAAGACGCATGCCTTGTATGTTCTAGCACCACGCACGCACCAATGCTGCTAATGTCTAGCCTCACGGGGAGCACGCACTACACGCTGGTCAATGTTCTAGCACTCACGCACCGCCCACTCCATGCCCTCACTGCTCTAGCACCCTCACGTCAGAGTCCCGGCACCCACGCTTTGTACTGTCTAACACTATGCACGCACGCACACACGCTTGGTTAAGTCTAGGCACTCACGCGCGCACGCGCGCACGCGATCTTGTAGTCTAGCACTCACGAACACACAGCACGTTTGGCATGGTCTGAGCCACAACGCACGCCACAACACGCGTATATGACTAGCACGCAACGCGAACGCACCCTGAAGTACCGCTTGGACTTTTGTATGCTAGACAACTTACGGGCACGCACAGCACGTTTGTATGTCTAGCAACTCACCGGGTCCGGCCCGACACCTTGTAATGTTAAAGCACCTCCACGCACGCACCCCACCTTGTATGTCTCCAC